GAGACCAGCCTGAGCAAGAGCGAGACCCTGTCTCTACTAAAACTAGAAAGAAATTAATTGGACAACTAAAAATATATGGAAAAAATTAGCTGGGCATGGTGGCGCATGCCCGTAGTCCCAGCTACTCGGGAGGCTGAGGCAGGAGGATCCCTTGAGCCCAGGAGTTGGAGGTTGCTGTGAGCTAGGCTGATGCCATGTAGCTCAGGCAACAAAGTGAGACTCTGTCTCAAAAACAAACAAACAAAAAACAACAAAAAAACCAGGGTTATTATTACTGGTTTCACCTTTGCTTCAGGCTCCAAGATGGCTTGGCAGGGTACTATTCTGATTCTGTTTTGATACGTTGACTACAGAGGTTTCTGGCCTCCGCTTAAATTTTGCTCCTGGGGTAGTGCCTTGTTAGCCTCATTCACCTCACCCTAGTGGGGGGAGAGGGGTGAATTGAGAGGCATGAGCCATCAACAGTGTCATGAACCCAGGAGTTCTTTGGACACCCACCCCATCCCAGTTAAGAATCCCTGATTTAGCCTCATCCCTTGTGATGGGGAAACTGAGATCTAGAAAAGAGAAGAGACTTGGTCAAGGCCATGTAACTAGCTAGTGGGGCTGGATCCTAGTTTTCTCACAGCCGCTTGCTGTTTTTGGCATCCTGTTTCTAAGTCCAGTGTTAGTTATTTCTAGGAAAGGTGCTGGTGCGCAGAAGGCAAAGAACAGGGATAACCCAGAGTGAGAGAGGCTGCTTCTGGATATTTGAGATGTGAACCTTCTTAGAGCCAAGCCTTCCTGTAATGCTCACAAGCTGTGGCTGGTCCTATGGCACTGTCTTCTTTTCTCCTCTCCTCTAGGCTGCTACTTTGTCCTGGATTGGCTCCAGAAGACCTACTGGTGCCGCCAACTGGAAAACAGCCTGAGAGACACCTGGGAGTTGGAGGAAGATGGGGAAGAGACAGATGAAGAGGACCAGGAGGAAGATAACATCATTGTCGATGACATCACAGAACAGAAACCAGAGCCTCAGGACAATACGAAAGATGATGAGTCAGCTGTCAGGGCTGATGGTGACAGCAAAGGCAGTGACGAGATGGATTCTTCTTGCAAAAAGGCTCTGAGACATAAAGAGCTATATGGTAGGTGTTCTTGGGGACAGAGAGTGGCCCATGAGCCCGGAAGGGCTCAGACTTAGAGTTAGCACTGGTTATTTCCCTGACTCAGCATTTCCTCTGGTGCCGTGGTGAGTCCCAGCTTAAAAAACTGTCACAAACCATCTTCCCTGGCTAGTTTCCATAGTGTAGTGGCTATCATGTTCGATTCATAAACCATCTTCCTTGAGCCCCATGAAGTAGGAGGGGAAGGAATTCTAGTTCTCAACTTACAACTCAAGAAATGAGGTGAGAGGGGCGCAGGAGGAGCCCAGCAGGAGCATGGGTCTGGGCTGGCAGTCCTATTTGTCTTCCCTTCTGTTTCCAGAAAGAGCCCGAGAACTGCTGGTGTCATATGAAGAGGAACAGTTTAAGGTAAGAAAGTACCCTTGACCTGGTGTGCTCTCACCTGCCCCAGCCATTTCTTCCCTCTTGCCAGCTACCTGAGAGAAGTCTTGAGAAGGAATTTGAAAGAAAAGTGGCAAAGCATGAGGGAACTTCTCGGAAAGAGGAGGGGGGACTAGAAAGGAGACAAGAGGAGCAGAGTCCAATTGGCTGATCCTCCACACTGATGGAAGGGAGCAGATGATGAAATTTGTGGATAATCTGCCCCACTGGGTGGGTGGTTAGGGAGCAACTGGGAATGGGAAGTTGCACGGCCCTGCAATTCCACAGCTGAACAGCAGGTGGGGTGCAAGAGCTTTCCTAGATCAGAGGAGCAGAGCGGTGCTATTTTAGTGAGAAGGGAGGTAGCTCAGAAACCATTTAGTTCAACCCTCTCTTTTCACAGACAAAGAAATCGAAGCCATAGATGAGTGAAAGGAGAGGCCCAAGGTCACATTATACAGTTAATGATAGAACCAGGATTAGAACCTGGGTTTTCTGATTCTCTTTTTTCTTCTATAACCCATTGCCTCCTCTTGACCCTTGGCCCAATTCAGACATCTAAATATTGGGGTATCTGGTGGTTGGGAGCCACAGGAAATTCGTTGGGGGTGGAAAGAAGGGAGAAGGAGGGAGATGTCTGGCATTTGAGAGTCGGGTTATTTTTAGTTCCAGGGCCAATAGGGGAGTTGTGGGCCTGCCCCTGCAGGGCAGTGCTCAGGGGTCCTGTGGGAAGGGAGCTTGGAGGGGTGGGGGTGGGTTTCCTGGCTGAACCAGCCTTCTGATGGGACCCTCTTTGCCGGCAGGTGCTGGAGAAATTTAGGCATTTACCTCAGGCCATTAAGGTGTGGAGTGACGCGTCCCCACGTGTAGAATGCGTCCTGGCAGAGCTCAAGGGCATTACGTGGGAGAACAGGTGTGTAACTAGGTAACCAGGGGCTGCCTATTCTCCAGGGAAGAGGGTAGCAGCTCCACTGAAATCTGCTTGCATATCCTAGTTTGCCAGCCTCTTCTGTACAAAATCCCAGGGGTAATGCTGATCCCTCACACAGTGACCCTACGTTGGGCATGACCCTCTGGTGGGGGTTGCAACTCTGAGTCACTAGAATGGCCAGAGACAGGAATGCCCACTATCATCCATCTCCTGGCCAACCTTATTCCTCTCTGTAAGGTGGTATGTGGAGCTCTTGGCAACTAGGAAGAGTCCTTGAACCTTACCACCTCACTGCCTAGCCCTTGTCCAAGTTTGAGGTAAAAGCTACCTGGTGGGCACTGTTGGTCTTTTCTTTCGAACTCCTGTTGGAGGGGTCAGCATTCGCTGGGCAGTCATGGTTCAGGGGACAGAGGAGGAGCCTTCTCTCAGAATGGCCATGAGCCTTCTGTTTTCTAAAAAATAGTGCTTAGCTCAATCCAAATAGTATCTCTACCCATTCTTCTCTTCTCCCAAGCTCTTGGGCGCTTTCCACCTAAATTCAGCTGGAAAGGGCTTTGGGGAACTTTCCCTTAAGGACGTGTGGAGGCACTGCTAGACCTTCCTGGCTAGGGAAAGGTTGTAAGGGATCTGGGATGGCGCAGAGAGTGTGGGTAGGTAGTGTAGATGGCGGAGCGGGCCTGGGTGGGAGTCTTCAATGTAGGCTGAGATTATCCCTGGAGTCTTCTCTTCATTCCCAGGATACTAGTTCCAAAGGTGTTTTATTGGTATCTGCCCAGCCTAGGCTTCTTGGCTCCACCCTTCAGCAAAAGGGTGGATGGTGGCCCCCTTAGCAGCTGGGGAAGCTATCTTTGTGCCCCTCCACAGTAGTGTCTGCCTGGTAGTACTGAGCAGGCAGCTGGCTGGCTCCTTTAAGCATTCTTCTCCAGCGTTGACCCAAGGAGATGGGAGATAGATGGAAGGACAGCTGTTTCCTCAAGCCTGATCTGCTTGAGGGAGGGATCTGAGTATGTCAACTCTCTAAGTATTAGGACATCTAAGCTCTTTCCCCCCTCCCCAGGCCTAGAGAGTATCTGTGTCCATTTAGTTTTGTCATAAACGAATACCTGAGACTGCGTTTATAAAGAAAAAAGGTTTATTGGCTTACAGTTCTGCAGAAGCATGACAATGGTATTTGCTTCTGGTAAGCGCCTTCCGCTTCTCCTCATGGCAGAATGTAACGGGGAATTGGTGTGTGCAGAGATCACATGTCACATGGCAAGAAAAAAGCAAGGTCGTGGTGGGGGGCAGTGCTGGGCTCTTTTTAACAACTAGCTCTTGGGGTAGGGAGGAAACAATAAAGTAAGAACTCACTCGTTAACCGTTACCGCAAGGATGGCACCAAGCTGTTTATGAGAAATTGGTCCGGCGACCCAAACACCTCCCATTACGCCCTACCTCCAACATTGCGGATCAAATTTCAACATGAGATTTGGAGGAGACAAACATCCAAACCATAGCAGGGAGCCTCTTGGGGAGCCACTACCTCTGGAGGAATCAGCTTGCTGTTGCTGGTGTAGATTTGAGCTATATGGAGATAAGTGATCGCTCCTATAGCTTACTCGTGCAGCCCCTCTAAATTTTTCTGAGTTCTTAGAGTCCCTAGAAATAAGGCCTGTGAATCATACTTGATCCAGCAATTGAATCTCCAAGGTTTCTACTTCCAGGATCTAAAAGAAGGCAGCCTGGAAGAAGGGGAGGAGGAGGGGACTGGAGAATGGTCAGAGAAACAAAAAGACCTGAGTAGGAACTGAAGTCTAAAAGCCGTTGAATCCATGATCCCAGACATTTAACTCCTTTTGTGGACCTGGGACTTTCCTCCATCTGTGTTTTGAGGCTTGTTTAGCTGCTACTGCCCTCATTATGGGTCTTAGATCACCATGTACTTGGTCAATGCTTGTTCAAAACGCATTGATCCGAGCCTCTGGCCCAGCCCTTGACCCAGGAGGCTGAAGCCTGAGATCTGTCAACTGCCTTCTTACCCCCTCCTACCTGCTCACTGCCCACCCCAGAGGTATGAGCTGCCTTGAGGGGTGGGTGAGGGATTAGGAGAGTATCTTCTGCCAGCTTCAGTTTGCTAAACTAACATCTTCTTATTCCAGGGAGGCAGTGCTGGATGCTTTTCTAGATGACGGCTTTCTCATCCCCACGTTTGAGCAGCTGGCAGCTTTGCAGATAGACTATGAAGGTAGGGTCCTGGGGGCTCGCTGCAGTCTTAGGGTTCTGTGTTTCCTGGGCGGGAGCACGAAAGGTGGGCTGGGGGTGAGGTCTTTGTCCTGCCATACCATCGCCTCTGGAAGCCCCTCAGCACTCCTGTGAACAGAACATGTAACTCCACTGATTTGCAGTTGTGGGACTGTCCTTAAGTGGTCTGGAATGGGGTCGGGTCGGGTGGGGTGGGTGGGGGTCTTAATGCCATTATTGTGCCATGTTAATTGTGATTTAGCCACTAGCTAGAGAGCTAGAACAACAGAACTAGAAGGGCCTTGTGAGGTCATCTAGTCCAACGTCCTCATGTTACAGATGGTCAGACTGAGGTCCAGAGAGGGGAAGGTACTGATGCAAAGTCACACAGTGAGTTATTGACAAAGCTGAAGCTAGAACCAGAGCTCTTTTTCTTTTATACTTTTTGAGCCAGTTGTTGGTTGTCAGATACTAACTGGTTTCTCTCTCCCTGCTGTTCTGCTCTCTTCTTTCCTTCTGTTCTGTGGTGGCAACTCTGTTGGCGGTGGGGGGGCTGGCTCACACGCACGCACATGCACTCTTTCTCTCTTACTCTTTCTCTTTCACTCTGGTGCGTGCGCTCGCTCTCTCTCCCTCTCCCCCCCACCTCCCCGCTCTCTCCTGTTCTCTCTCTCCTGTTGCCCCTCCCCAATGGGTATCCCTTACAAACCAGAAAACGTGGACTTGAGTGACATCCTGGTGCCAAAGCCGTTCTCTCAGTTCTGGCAGCCCCTGCTCAGGGGCCTGCACTCCCAGACGTTCACGCAGGCCCTGCTGGAGAGGATGCTCTCTGAGCTGCCAGCCTTGGGGGACAGCGGGATCCGATCCACCTACATCCTCAGATGGACTGTTGAACTGATCGTGGCCAACACCAAGACCGGTGAGGGAGACTAGCTCTAACCCCAGGGCCTAAGGCAGCCCAGGAAGGAGCATCTGCCACTGTCCTCAGCTGTCTGCTGAGAAGCACCAGGCAGCCACGTCCCTTGTTAAAGGTTTACGTTTGCCTAAGAGGGCCCCACGGCAGCAGTGAAGAAATCTCCCTCTTCCTTTTTCTTATCAGAGCCAAGTAAACTGGGCTGGGGCAAAGTGCCCTGAATGCTTCGAGCAGTTGGGTGGTAGAGATCGGGAATCTGGGGGGGGGTGGGTCCCTACAGAGCCAAACTTTTCAAGATGAAAGCTTGGGTGGGGGCCTCACTGGTTCCTTCTCCTCAGGCTCTGTTTTCTCTCTCAGGACGGAATGCTCGCCGATTTTCTGCAAGCCAGTGGGAAGCAAGAAGGAGCTGGAGGCTGTTCAGCTGCTCCGCCTCCCTTGACTGGCCCCGGGTGGTGGAGTCCTGCTTGGGCTCACCTTGCTGGGCCAGCCCCCAACTCCTTCAGCTGTAAGTCTCTTGAGTTCCATCTGGTAAGAGGGTGAGGCCCTGCGAGCCACACAGCCCTAGAATGGCCGAGTTGGAAGGACCCCCTCAAGGACAATCTAGCCCAGTCCCCGTCCCACTGACAGATGAGAGAACTGGGTCCAGAGAGGGGAGGGGGGGATATTCTTGCTTAAGATCATATAGCTTAAGACCCTACTGAACTGAGTCCAGTGTGAGAATGGATGACACAGTCCCCCTAGAGTGCTTAGCACAGTGGCCTGCACAGAGTAAGTGCACAATAAATGGTAGCTGCTGTTTATTATTGAACCCAGGTCTTCTGACTCCAAGCCCAGTGCTGTCTCTTCTATTATCTTCCCGAAATATACCTCTGATAGCTGCTCAACAACCTTTAGTGGCTCCTTCTTGCCTTCCTGGTGAAGTCTAGGCTTCTTAGCCTGATGTTCAAAGACCTTTCTGATTCTGGCCCAACCTATCATGGTAACCATACTTCCTGTGAGTCCCCTTTACCCAATCCATCCTGGGTTCTGTGGTCAAACAGTATTGCACTGGTTCCTGTAAATACCTCTGGTTGTTCCCTTTCCTTTTCTCTGTCATTTCCTGACCCTGAGCCACTTCCCTCATACTCACAGTAACCTTCAGCACCTGATTCTCTTCCTGCTCTCTGCAGCAATATCTGTTTCATTCGGGCAACCCACCCAACACTCTGCAGCTCCTCAACCCCAGTGACTTTCATTCTCCATCACACACAGCAACCGATTTCCATCCCTCAGAGCTGTGCCACTCGGTGACCACCACCTCTTGTCCTTCTGTTTCTCACCCTCACATCCCATGACGTCTGCTCTTTGCCTGCATCCAGACCTCCATCCTTCCATATCCGACCTCCCTCGACCTTGCTCCCCTTCTTCCTCTCTGTGGTTGATCACTTCAGCCACTCACCATCAGCATCCTCGGCTCTGCACATCCTTTGGCCGTATCTGACCTGCACACCCCCGAGCTGGCATTGATCCTCCCCATTCTGCTTTCCCCACTCCTCAGCCTGGGTAGCTGAGCTCTGCTGGACAAAATCACATAGCTCTGCGGATTGCTGCCACAGCAGAGGTATGATTTTTAATCTAGGGCCAGGCCTCAGTTCTGCTTGTCTGAACTTTTACTTGTTTTCTGACCACTTGCTCTCCCGTTCCCTGACTATTCTAAACCCTTATCACTCACCTCAAGCCCCTCCCCCTCTCCCATTTCACCCTGGCTTCCTGGAGCACATAGAGGCATCCAGCAGGGCCCCCTTGACCTGACGTCTGGCCCTTGTGAAGTGATCTGCGCCTGCACTCCACCTTCTCGCCAGTCTCAGGATGAGATGGCCTTGCCCCACCACCAGTGCTCTGGAGCCACCTCAGCCAGCATTGCTGGGGCCTCACCCCAGCCTCTCCCTTGCTCTGCTGGCTCTTGCTCTTCAACCTGTGAACCTGCCTGAGGTTTTCTCATCTTAAAACAAAACAAAACAACAATAACAGCAACATAAGCAAAATCTCCTTTGACCCCGCATCCCTCTGTTTTATTATTACCAGTTTATCGCTCCCTCCCTCCCATCAAAACATCTCAAAATAGTTTATACTCAACAGTCTCGATTTCCTCAGTACCCTGTTACTCCTCAACTTCCTACAATTTGGCATTCACCCCCAGAGTTGCTTTGACCTCCAAATTACCAAATCCAGTGGGCCCTTATCAGTCTCTGTGTTGGCCGCATTGATGCTGTTTGCCACTCCCTCCTTGAAATGCCTGCTCTTATTACTAGTTCCCATAAAGTGCTAAGGCCCAATCTCTTTATCAAGCCCAGGCCTTTACCCCAAGATTCAGCCTCCTATACTCAACTGCATGTTGGACATTTCCCCTTGGATGGCCCACAGGTGCTTTACTGTGACCAAAAGAGAATTGATCATCTCATTCCTCACCTCAGCTCCAAAGTAATCTTCCTCCTCTGTTGCCTGTCTCACTTGGTGGCGGCACCATCTACCCTGTTGTGTTAACTATCAAATACCAAATCTGAGGTTTTGTGTTGCCGTGTCTACTTTCCCTAGTGTCTCCTTCCCTATATCAAACTAAGCTTTTCAAGGGCTCTGCATTTGCTATCTGTGCCCAGCACACCACACAAGTCTAGGACCCAAATAGGCCTCAGTAAACATAGAACTGAACTCTGCTGTCTCATTGCCAGCATTGCTGTCCTTGGTGGGAGTGCCTGGAGAATGAGAGAAGTAGGAGTCTGGATGACAAGACCCTCTTAGTCCCCGATCCCCCTATTGAGTCTGGAACTCTTTCTTGAACCCTGATTGCAATTGGAGCACAGAGGGATTTATATGATAAAAAATGTGTCCTTGTAGACAAAGTCAGTCAAGGCAAGACCTCCAGGAGATGGAATTGAACCAAGGAGCCACATCACCAGATGTGTGTGCTATAGGCTAGACATGACATGGATGGGCGGGGAACTGGGAGGAGAACCAAAAGGGCCTGGAGGAATCAGGAAGAGCAACAGAGAGGAGGTGTTTGAATGATTCATGCAGGAGAAAGAATAAAGGAAGTTTCAAAGTCCAGAAGGAACACGGCATATCTATGTAATGGGGGGAGGAGGGAGTGAAAAGAGCAGCATGGAGAGGTTTGGATAGGTGGCCTTCAAGGTACTTTCCAATCCTAAGTGCTTGCAGAGTGGAAGCTGCTGGTCTTGGAGAAGTCTGGACCACAGAGATCTCCCAACGCAAGCATACCAGAGGGATGCGACACATGCCAGCACTAACAGCGGCTCACTTGGGTACGATTCCTTGTGCACAGATCCTGCCTTTCCCAGATAATCAGTGAATGTAGTCCTAGTCACCCCATTACACACAGTGGGGAACAGAGAGTTTGCCCAGGGATTATGCTGCAAGTCAGAACTGGGACCAGGATCCTGATAGCCTGTCCTTAGTCCCGTTCTCTTCTATAATGCTCCACTGGATCGCACTATTGCAAAAGCATCTGTCATAGACACACACGGAACTTGGCTTTTGTTTTCCCCAGAGGAAAAAATAAAAATATCACTGGCAATTAAGTGTCAGGCATGGGGCTGTGTTTTTTGGTAGAGGTTATTTCATTTACTTTGACATAGCAATCTTGGGAGGTGGAGGTATTACACCCTTATTTGACAGATAAGACATTGAGGCTCTGAGGAGTGACATGACTCATCTACAAGTCACACAATTTGTTGATGGTGGAACAGGGATCTGGGCCCAGGTCGTGTGAGTCCAAAGTCCACTTCAGTTCCATCAGCCTGAGCTGTGACCAGGCATACCCAAAGAATGGGATGTGTTTTAAGATTTGTATCACCCCAACACCTTAGTGGTCAGACTAGACAGGTTGAGATACATTAATCACACTAATGGACCACTGTGAGGGGCAGAGAGTTTCTCTCTGGCTTT